CTTGCTTAACAAACGTCACGCACTCCGTTGCTCTTATTGGTTGTAGGTCTATCCAATTGAGTGCAGAGGCATTTTTTTCCTGGTTCGTTCAAAACACGCCCCATAATCACAGCTCTATGGAGCAGTATCAGACTCATATTCTGACTAGAATTGAGTCGGACTACGTCAGGCTAGAAAAAAGTACCTTCTGCTGTGTAATTGAGCTTCAGCAAGGACATGGAGCCATACGTTGTTTTCCGTAACAATAAAAGACTTTCTATCAAGACCGAAGTAAGAAACTTCGGTAAAAATAGAGAGATATGTACAGATTCGGCTTCTCTGCATCAATAACTCGCCCGTCATTTCTTCTACTGAACCGGCATCTCTCCACAACCACAGCAAGGCAGACAGTGAGCTACAACCCTAGTTTCCTCAAAACAAGTCTCCCACTATGCTAGGAGAATTGCATTGGACGTTATGCAGAGTTTGCTTGTTTGCAAATGCTTAGGGACCGTCTGCAAGATGCAATACCAGGAACAAAATCATAGAGAAATATTCAACAGCGTCACCAAGGAGAGGTGGATTTTTTTTATCAAATTCATTCCATGTGTATCTGATCTCACGTCTTTCATACTACAGTTATTGGATTGAAAAATAATGCATAATTTTTTTTTGAGGAATTCTACAAAGCTTAATGACAACACAATAATTTAAGTCACTTTTGCTAAGATAGAAAAGAAATCCCCTAAAAATACCTGTTTACTGTATAAATCTAATAGATTTGGATATAAGGTGTTCAATATATTCAGGTATTATCATTTATATTAGTCATACCTCAACTTTCATGTTTCGTATTATCAGTGTAATTACAAAATGAGCAATAACTATAGTAGAGTTCACTGAAGTGCCACCAAACATGTAGCACACACAGAAAATCTGATCTGGATCGTTCCACAACTCTTACTTTGGGAAAATGTGTTTAACTCTTCTTTGCGATTTTTCAATTTTGTACAATGCATGTATAATAATAGCTGCTCAGTGGTGCAGTGGGTAGCCCCGCCGCTTTGCAGCAAGAAGATCAGTTCGATTTCTGCAAGGAGTTTGCATGTTCTCCCTGAGCATGCGTGCGTTCTCTCCGGGTACTCCAGCTTCCTCCCACAGTTTAAAACCATGACTGTTCAGTTAATTGGTTTCTCTAAATTCTCCTCAGGTGTTAGTGTGTGTAAATGGTTGTTTGTCCAGTTTGTCTCTGTGTTGCCCTGTGATGGACTGGTGGCCTATCCAGGATGGACCCCACCTCTAACCTGTATACAGCTGGACATAAGCATCAAGTCCCCTCCTGACCCTGCTTGGTATGAGCGTGACAGAAAATGGAATGATGGATGACCATATGATCACATATCACATATCTACCTGATTTAAATGATTTCATTAACTGTAGAGTTTATTATCCATCCAAAGCTCTTTGTTTCTTTTCCTTTTCCCATCCAGGTTGAAGCACCTCAGGCAGTGAAAACCTCAAACTGTTTTTCACTCTGACCTTTAAAAGATTCTTCACCTACTGACATTAATTGATGGCTAATCTTGATTGGCTGGTACTTCATTAAACTAAGCATCTGACTGGTCTGATTGTGTGAGTTCAGCTCAGAAATACATCCATGGATTAAACTAAATGAAACATCAGGGTTTTTGATTTCTTCTATCTTCCTCTTTATCAGCAGTTTTTTCTTCTTTCTAATCAAACCATTTGACCAGAGGCCATAAAAACAAGGGAGAAATTCTCTGGAAGAATCTCCAGATGGGCAGGGACACTAAAGCCTAACAATGCCTCCACCTTCCAGTCCAGATCCATCCAGCCTCTCTGGATCTGCTACTGAGAGATGCAGCAGCAGCACCGGGAGCTCAGAGCCTCGTACAGAGGAGGAGAACGGGAGAACAAAGCGTCCTCTCCAGGACCGAAGTCTTAG